TGCTGTGCAGTGCTTTTTAAGCTCAGATTCATAGCAGTTAGGGTGTGGCACTTGCTCCTAGCCAGTTCTCAGAAGCCAGGACTCTCCTCCTTCACCTCAGTGTTAGATGCTGTTCCACTGATGAGAAAAGACGAGAATTTTTGCTAATACTGCTCTAAATTTAATGAAAAGTCATTATGACAGCATGGTGTGGGGGTAATGACCCCTGTCTCTGTGCGTTAAGCCCAAAGGGCTGGACGTCTTATGATGCTCGACAAAGCCAGACAAAAACATAGCTGACCTAATTTAGTGTGATGATAGTCCTTCTTCAAGCAAGAGGTTGGTCTAGAGATCTCTAGAGGTACCTTCTGTAACATTTCTGTGATGTGTAAATAGGAATTCCTGGATCACAGTTTTGGATTTAGATGGACATACAAGGTGTAGAAGTCTTCTCTCTTTGTCTGGCTCCTAAGCTCTAACGTTACTCAGATTTTTTTGACAACATGTAAGTCCCATTCATTCTGAATCTATCTGATTTTTCCTGGAATTGATTTTAAGAAGTCTCAAAGCACTGTTTCCTGAGAGCTTCAGCAAAATTCCTGCTTTTTCTGGAGATAAAAGATGGTCTGTCAACTTCGTATGTCTCAGTTCTTTTTTTAACCTAGTACCTGAAGCTTCACCTGAAGTTCAAGCGGGTAACTTGCTTGTTTTGGGGAGGTCATCTGTTGGGGCTATATGTCTGGGTCAGGCACGAGTCAGCAGCGAGAGAGATGTACACAGTGTTGCAGCAATGACTCCTTTGCTGCAGGAACCAGAAGGCCAGAGACAACTGTCCCATGGACTGACCAGCTCCATCAAGCACATAGGGTACAGAAGCTAGAGGGCTGGATGTCACGGTATGAATGCGTGATTTGCCAGTGCAGCATAAAAAAAGTGGAAAATCAGATAGATCAAAATGGAAAGTGTAAAATTTGAAGGTGTACAACCTCTGCAATGTTAAAAAAACCTCAGCTGCTGTTCTCCAGGCTTTTGAGCCTGGGATGCCGGGGGAACAGATGTCCTGTGTAAAGGCAGGCAAGATTCAAGTTGCTTAAAATCTGAGTATTTTTGTATTTGGTCACAAAATAAAATTTGGCCTAACTTGTAAATTCATAGATAAATTGTTCAAGTTAAATTGTTACCAATAGAATGTGAAAACCTTTGAAAAGTCATTAATCAACCATGTTATTCCCAGATTATATTTTACTGTCATGTGACACCAAGGAAAATTGGCAGGAATAAAAAAATATTATGACAGATAATGCTGCAAAATATGTAAACATTTCTGTTGTTGCACATAGCATTAGTATAGGGAGTAAATTTTGAATCCAGGGCAATAAATGTTAAAACGGCTGATGCTCAATGTCATCAGAGGACACGAAGAGTTATCTGAGAATATCTCCAAGGGAATCTAAAGTGACAGGAAAATTTTGAAGCAGCTGGACAGCCAATGAGTCTGAGATTGAATACACTGTGGGGCTTGCTGGAATAGGACAAATGAGATTCAGTAATACGGAATGAATGAGATTAAGAAAGATCTGACTGAATTTAAGACGAATGCATTCCTTCTGAGAGCAGAAAAAAAATCCCAAATTTTTTAGAAGATTTGAATAACTATCCAACATTTGTTGATTAAAGAGGAATACAAGAACAGTTGAACACTAGTGAAATTAAATATTCAGTGAGAGAAGTAACTTGAACAGACAAGGATCTGATAAATTTCTTAAATGAAAGCCAGTGTGGGAGTAGACTATATGAGGATGAACAAAACACTGTGCTTGAATTCTAAAGTGGAGCAGACATGGAGTGCTGAGCCCAACATGCATTTTAAGACTTTTTGCAGACTTGACAGGAACCCGCTAAAAGCCACAAACATATATAAAGTATGAGTTGCAGTTAGCACCATAGTTTTATGGTAGAGAGAATATGGACAAGTAGGGTATTCTCTTTCAAGTTTGAGGGATTTTATTAGGTATTCCTTTTTGAATAAAATAACTTCTTGATGAGTCTTTTAAGTTCCTGTTCCTTTCTCTTTGCACTGTGACTCTGGGATTGCTGATTAGACCCTTCTCTATCTGAAATACAGAGATGGGTCATTCTTTCCTCACTTTGCACAGTTGCTCTTCATTTTATATGTTCAGATCATATGAGATTTAATATTTCTGCAACCTTCATATGAAAGACATATGCAGAGACAAACATACTCTGGAAACATGAATCTACTCAATAGATTAATGAACATAAGTCTGTAAGCCTCTACAATACACAAACTTCTGGATTCAGCTATTTTAAGAATATCAGATTTGGTAATGTGATTAACCTGTTCAAAAAGTTACCTTTCTTACACAGAGCTGTTTTTTCTCATGTCAAATCCACTGATGACCCTTTCATCACCCTTTCCCCCACTTCAGCACTGTGGTCACTGAAATCTTCTTCCAGTGGGAGCAGGATCAAGCCAATGGCTTTCAAACTGACTATGGCAGAAATGCTCACTGTTCAATGCCTTCATTAGCACAGACTCGTTTCGACACTTAACAATTTAGCTATTTTTTTCAATTGAAAAAGAGACATGTTTGGCCATGAATCAAGTGGCTTTCATACATGTGTATCATTCTTAAGCCTCAAAAGGATTACCAGCTTCCCTTCTTGGTTTTAGTTATAAATGAATTTAATACAAAATACAATTTCAGGCTATCACATTCCCTTCCCAAGGCTTAATTTTCTCTGGTAACATGACTAAGGTGTGTCAAACAATAACAATTCACATGAATCGTGCGCTAGAAGGTGATAAAAATACTTTGTTCAAACACATATGTAAATCTCAAGAAAGTTTATGGAATATACCCGTATCCTTTATATGCTGAAGTAGATAATTTATCACTTCTAACCCTGAAGATTGTATTTATATCCATTCACACTCAGGAGTTTGTCTGAATGATTTTACTGCATAGTTACTCTGCCAACAGCAGTCTTAGATTTCTGACATGCAGCCCACTAAATTTTAGACCTTATATCTATTGAACACACCTGTGAATTGAATTCCATTTTGGAAATTGGTTTTGTTTACACCACATTATATCAAATATAATTTATGTCAGTTTCTGATTTTGTGACCGGTTATTCTGCTGGCTGAAGACAGCAATATCATTTCAGAGGAGGAAACTGTTGATTTCTAGGTGTGTAGGAACAAAAAGCCATTTGTGACTCGGGGCTACGTAACCGAGAGCAGCAACCATAGCCTGGACTCATCCTACACAATCATAGGAATTGGTAAGGAAAGGTCCTGTGTCAACTGGGGTCAGGGAAATTCTTGGGAAAGAAATATCCTACTGTTTTATACTCTTAAACCCTTTGAACTTGGAAACTTATACTCCAAAATGTTATTGCCTTAAGTAGGGGGAAAAGTAAATTTTCATGCACAGTGGGATGTTAAGCCTGCAGCTCTGCCTCACAAAAAGCAGAAATAGTGTTTCCACTTCCATATATATCATCCTGGAAATGTACCTGTGTAATATATATTTAAACAGCCTAACATAAAATAAGATCAACTTTCTGGAACTATAAGGAGGAAAGAGCAGTTAACTTCAAAATATCATTGCAAGAATATTGAAAGACATGGGAAAACAAAGCTATATTGATCCTGACTCCCTCTACAATTTAAGTTCAAGAAGACGAATGTTCTGGGTCTGTGATATTTATGCAAGGATCATCCAGTCAATCTCAGTCAAAGTCTCCATTACTGAGACAAAGAGAAACTGTTCATTATAAAGAATGTGATTTTTCACAAGAGACAATGTGGGGCAGTGTAGGACTCTGAAGTAAGCTTGGCAACTGGAAACAGCCAGGCACCTTGCCCTGTTCTATTCAAAACGCTAGACAAACTTTTCTGAGACCTGTCCTCCGTAATAAACACAAATGGTAAAGGCATTTGAAAGAAAAGTTTAAAAGAAAATTATAAAGAAACCAGTTATGCAGTTTTGCTTCTTAGCTAGGGCAGGGGAAGGAGAAATCACCACTCCTGAAGGCCAGTCCCCCATTGCACTGGAAAATGCATGGGTATGATCATATGTTCTTTTTAATTCTAGCTTAGACTGCAAAAGATAGAACCCTCCTGAGCAATGCGTCAGCACACCAACTGGAAACTGTTGCTCCCAAGAACAACAGGGCAGAAAGGTTGTGCAAGAGGTCCTTAGTTCAATTCAGTACAAAGTTGGAGAGTGACAGTCATGGATTGCTTGAGCTTATTTGGCTGACTTTGTGCTAAGCTAGACCAAAAATGCTCTCACATTCTTTTCCATCAGCTTTTCTGTGGGACAAGTAACCTTCAGCTTAAAACCAGAAATGAACAGCTCAAATTAGGCCTAAAACCTGTCAGCCATTTGCAAGGTGAATAGTACCTAAGTGTTGAAAGAACACGGAATAAGAACTGAAGGAAAGGAAAGAAGATTAGAGTTGGTTTTCATTGGTTTGAGACATCTGAAAAATCTTAGCTAGCCTGAGAAGATTATGTTTTTCATTCTATCTTTGTACTGATTATGGAGCATTTACTATAGATACATGAAAGTTTACAATACAAATTAGGATATATTTCAGAGTTTTAAGAAAATCCAGTGTTCATTATTTAATGGTATGTAGGGTATATTATGTTTGCTGAAAAGCAGGAAACATTTATACAGAGTAGTGTTACAAAATTGTAGGTAAAGCCACTCATTAGAGAAAGATTAACTATATAACAAAAAGGAGGGAGGGAGAGAGGGAGAACAAGAGTGCCAAAGAGAAGTGAGGAGGGAGAGAGGAAGAGGGAAGGAGAGAGAACACCTCCATTTATTGTCAATGACTATGGAAACCTGCACATTCTGGTATGTATTTTCCTGAACTCTGCTTTGCTTGAAGACTATGATAGATCTATTACTGCAAATTTCAGCTAGAGTTTTTGAAATCAGGAGTGACTGATGATGAAACAACCAAGATGATTACATTTTTTTACCACAGAGGATGCACCAGTGCTTTACAATATCAAAAGCAATATCATTGTGGAATAATAAGTTGCATAATTGTAGCACCAGGACATTTTTCAACAGCAAATCTATGTAGGCTAAATATTAAATATTTTTTAAAACTTTGGTTTGCAACCCCCTGAATACATTCTAAATGAGATATAGTGTCCTCAGAAAGGAAAATTGACTGGTACCATGCTTGCTTTTCTTAGTTATCTGTCATGGGTTTCCTAGTGACAGGTTTGCAGGGTCCCAAGACCAACCAGTCAAAAGAACTAAGTTACAATAAGCTACCTTCAATATGATTACAAAATAACTGAATGATAAAAATTCATTTTCTACATAGTCATATTTCTTGTAACCGGAAATGCAGTGTTTGAGTGTGATATTTGAATAAACAGTCTGGTGAATTGCACTTCTACTAAAACTGCTTTTTCTTAGAAATAAGTAAGGAAGAGAAAAATTACCAATTTACCTGTTAGTTGATAGAAGCTGTGAGGATTTGACAAACTGGGGATAAACAGTCAGAGTATTTGGTGATCTAACCATCTCTGGCTTCTCCTGCTGGGTTTAGATTGAAAAACATAATTATGTAGGATAGTATTTTTTTTAGAGTGCTTAATATTGGCCTACAGGTCTCAGCAATAACAAGGTAGGCAATGACTCATTCAGAAAACACAGAGTCTGAATCGCACAGTGTTTTCTTCACTTGGACAAACACTTCTGAACAAAGAGAAAAGTGTTTAGGATTGGTTGAAGTATTTTTAAGCTCAAGTTACAGGTTTTTAATATGTAACAGCATGTGTTCGGCGATTTGAGTTTCTTAGGGAGCTCAGATGTATAGATAGGTCAAGATCCAAGAAATCAATCCCGATTATTTTTTCCAGGTATCTGATCTTCTGCTGATGAATCATGAGAGGTTGGATCCTGGACCTCTCCTGTTAAGGGCAGAGAAAAATATGCTCCAGTGGATTCAAGAATATTACTTGCAGTGCTTTGAAAAAGTCTAAATATTTAGACAGGAGGATGACTAAAACATTATCCTCTTTGCCACTACTGTGGTTAGGGTTTTTAACCCGAAAAGTATTTTGCAATGATAACTTCAAGTTAAGATAGTTAGGTGGCACTTTATGGATAACCAAGTTCCTCATGCTGTGTTCTGTATCTACTTCTGGTTGTTTTATTAAAAATAGAGTTTAAATGTATATTCGTAAGAATTAAATAAAATACTGACTAAACAGTTCTTTGCTTATAACAACTTTTCCTTAAGCAGTAAATCTTCTCTTCCAGTTAATAATAAATGATATGGGATGGTGTGCATTTAGCACTCTTTTTCCTAAAGCTGATGTTCATTCCATGGCAGTGCTTTTCTGTGAGATGCCTTGTCACTATTTGGAAGACACAGGGGAAAGACAAAAGGGGAGTGTAAAAAAGCTATTTTGTTGTTTCCATTGAACCCCCTCTAGACCCTCTTGTAGTGTCTCCTGTGTTTGTGAAACTGTGTAGACTTACTGTGTTATGAAGTTCTAATACACTGTTTAAAATGACATCATTTCAGTTCGTTTTCACACAAGTCATTAAATCAGAGCACTCTGCTTCTGCGGGGTTCTTAAACAGGCAATGATGGCAGTGGTGGGCCTCAGCTAAAGAGTGAGGGGACACATGCTTTGTGCTGAGATCTGTTGACCCTCTGGGAGCTTAGGAAAGCTAGAAGGTTACTGGAGTCTTTTCAAACAAAGGAAGCTAAAACTAATTCTGTTTGCTAGGATTTCTTCACATTACAGCTATGACTGTCATCATAAACACGTCATAAACCTGAAGAAATCATAGTCTTGCTATCAGTAAGCAAGCTTATTTTTTCTAATCTCCTCTATTTGTTCTGTGCTCCTTCGGAGTCTTCAGCATTTTGGAAGCATTCTTAGTTTTCAGTCAAGATGACAGGGCAAATATTGAAACGTAAAATCGAGCAGAAAGCAAGGATTTTACTTAGTTTGTGTTAGCTTCATACAAGCATAATTCCCGTTAGCTTTGTCTGATTTAGATTGGCATAAGCACAGGTGAATCAGGCCCAAAATCCCATCCTTTATACTCCTTTCTAGCTAGCCAATTAACTACGTCTTGAACAAATGATTGAAGATGTCACATTTACATGAAAATGGAAGAAATACAAAGTGATTTCATACCTTTAGACTTATTGCCTCTTCAGACCACCAGACTTCAAAGTCTTTTTGCAGCTTCATCATGGCTTTTTCCATAAGAAGCTGCAGGTGCTCAATCTCTACTTTTAGCCCTTTCAAGCGATTGAACATTGTTTTATAACTAATATGAGAAGAAGAAAGTGTATTACGGACCTTCCAACACATATCCAAACAAAGTTTCATCCTACCCGGAATAGTTACAGATCTAAACTGTAAAGGCATATATAATCATCATAGATACAGGAGACATAAAATGGTGGTAGGGAGAGACATCTCACAGTTTAGAATAGCTTCACTGGACTGTAAGTACAAGAAATTTATCCCACATAGCTTTTATTTCACTAAACAAATTAGTGAAATTCAAGTGGGATCAATATTGATTAACAATTAAAATATAGGTTCAATCAAATATGTCAATTATTTCTTTTGACCTCTCAGCATGTTACCATTAACAAACAACTGGTCGCCAGAGCCTGGATTCAGACAGGAGCTGAGCACTGATTCCCCTTTCAGATGGAAGCTTCATTAACGAGGCCTCTTGGCAAAAATATAGTTGGAGATTTACCAGCAGTATGAAACAGCCAGAAGTTTCTTCACAGACTGCACATAACATTAATGCTGGGAAATTACTTAGAACTGATATCCTTGCATCTATTTTCTTTTATCCTGTTGGCTACAGCAACATTAGAGCAAGGATTGGTTAACCAATGCATATTCTGCATATTGTTTAACTTAGTCAATTCTGCGTAGCCTAAAGGTTTTCCTGAGGTCAAGGAAGGCAGGACATTTCTGAATCAACCAAAAAGGTTCACAATACATTTGGATTCAAACAACAAGTTTCTACCACTAATCCCCAGGGAGGACATTAAGCTATTTTAATTTATTTTTAGCCATTAGCCCCAGCATAAATTTTCCCCACTCATGTACTGTGGCATCTTACAGACAAACCAACAGCATATACACAAATTTAAAAACTATTAGTGAACCACAAAGCTGACATTTATAAAATGTCAGAGAAAACCCTGAGGGCAACTGTGTGTGCAGAGCTGTAATTGGAACATACTATCAGTATAATTTATCTTCTAAAGAATGGCAGAAGTTTATGCAGAAATAATACCTTTTTTTTTCTTCTTCAATTTGCATTCGAAGGTTTTCCTCCACTGGATCAAGTGTATTGAGCTCTTCAGAAGGACTGGAAACAGCTATAGGAGAAATGACCAGATGTAAGTAATGACCATGTGATATTAAAAGAAGCAATTTTTAATTAGAATAAAAAAACTATTTTTTAAGAGTTAGGTAAAGACATGGGGGTCATTGACTGTTTCTTCTAGAAACGCTTCTTCAAATTCCTTATTTAGGCCTTACTTAATGTAAGAGACACTCAATAACTAGCGATTTGAATTGAATAGTTTTTAATGTTTTTTTTTTGGTAAAGACTGGAATATTCATTTTAGATATGAATAAAAGTGAGTTTTGCCAGTCCATATGAAAAGTTCATTTTTGGCATAAAACCCCACCAAATGCATTCAACCTCATAGTTTTCGCTACAGCGACAAGACCAGAACTGCAAAGTTGTTGTGAGAAGATACAGCAGTAGCTGTGCTGGTGCCTGGAAACAGAGTAACAGAAAGAAGAGTAAAAGAGAAATCCTGAAGAAGAAATTACCTTTAGTAAGCAATAAATTCAGAAAATTAGTATAAATAAGGAAAATGTCCTGAAACTATATGAGCAATTTTTCAAGGTAAAGGAGAAGTGAGGAAATACCTCAAGAGTAGCCTAAGTTAACCTAAGAAAGCAGCTTAGAATTTCCCCATCCAATAACAGAGCTAGTTAGCATGCAATACACAAGATGCTTATTCTGAGAGATAGCAAAACAGTCTTTCCATCATGGATTACATGTTCAGCAGTGAAAGGAAATGTAACGTTGCTTACTAGTATAACAATTTCTGTCTCTAAGATGGATGAGAGTAGCTTAAGGTTCCCAAGGAAACATGTTTAACCCTTTTAACTGAAGAAAAATGAAAGAAATAGAAGACTTGCTGTACAATACATGCAAGTTCCATTCTGCCTATTATTTCTGCCAAGAAAATAAATTCTACTTCAACCTATCACGAGGCCTGAGGAGTGCACCCTCTCTTCAAGGAGAAGAATTCTGTCTGGAACACGAGGGCAGTAATGACCCCACTCCACCTGCCAGCATGCCAGCTGAAACCATTTATCTTTTGTTGTAGCAGCCTGTAGCTTAATACATAAGAAGCTGAAAAGCATTTTATTTCATTTAGAGTACTTAGGTCAAGCATGTTAATGCAGATGGCCAAGGTGGACAAGGCCCATGCATTATTCCCATTTCATGCATCGAAAGGCTTTGTTAGATGTGTAGATTACAAAACAAGGACAAGATGAAGACATTTGTGGTGGGGAGGGTACCCTCGAAAGATTGAAAAATAAACTGCTTGGACTGTAAAGTGAACGTGCAAGCCAGGAGGTGCACACCATCATGGCAGAGGAGATGTTAAAACAGTGGCATTATATACCAAGTTATACCTGAACACAATGAAGGCCGTCATAATCATACCAGAACCTTTAAAGAAACTGTTAAACCTTTCAATGACTACAGAAGATCAGGATTTTCTGATTTGTCAAATTTCATCCTCAGGAGAAGACATAATGTGGGAAAGTGCAGAGCTACGCAGAGAACTTGTGGGGAGACGCTCACTGCAGAGCTCCTGAGGCTTCACACGTGTTCTGACCTTCACGAATACACAGCATCCAGGCTTGAGAGAAACATTCTCTTGTGGAACAAGCAATTTAGGGAGTTACTGCCTCCCAAGTGAGCTATACTCACAGACCATGTCAGCATCCTTCATATTTTTCCGTGCAAAGTCGGCCAGACTTAGCTTGAGCCATCTTCAGCAGTGGTTAAAGGAGACTCTCCTGAACACACTGAAGTGCATTTGGCCTATTTGCACAATCTGTTACGGTGTCTGAGTTCAGGAGGTAGCAGGTCTAGCCCCTTATGATGAAGGGAAATAATAAAGAGTGGAAGACAGTAACATTTGAAAGTGTTAATGCTATTTCTGAAGTGAGGACTTCATGAAAACATCACCAAATTCTGCTAGTCATTACAGAGTGATGGAAGGCTGTAATATTGCAACTTTCCTTCCCTGATTTATTTGGACTTCTCGTACTCAGAAAAATATTTTTGCACTAGCTCTGAAAGGGCAGCCAAACTTACGCAGAATTTTGTCACTCATACATAAAAACACCAAGAAAAATGTTTTGCTGCTGCTGCTGGCATGCTGTAGAAGGGATTATTTGGTTGCAAGCTACTTTCAGAAATAATAATAAAGCCTTTTATATGAGACAAGTACCTCTATCACACAAAGGCCCCGGCATCCTCAACCCTGAATACAGCTATACCTATCATCTCTAGCAATAAGCTCACGATGCAAGCAAGAAACATAGCTGTGAGCAAAGTGAGCAGCATAAAGTTTTGTATGTACAGGATGGAAAAAGACGAGTACGCTGCAAGCTAGTGGGGCCCCAGTAGCAAAAATAGCATTGGATATTTTGTCAAGTAGATGGCTAAAACTTAGACATCCGTCACTGTGTTCCAGTCACAAAAGCAGAAGAGATCTGATCACAGTGTCAGGTGAAGTCCAGTGGTAAGTCAAGTCCAGGACACATCTACTGGGGCACTGCTTTGTAAGTTCTCTGGTGTCTTTTCCCATGCTGTTGCAGTCTCCATTTCAGCTTTTTGTCATGCCTACACCTGGCAACAGTGTGCTTGTGAACTGAATAGCATTCTGCTCTGAAGACTAGACTTTTGAAATCTGCCTACTGTAATATATACAGATGAACACATGGGTCTCTCCTGATGTTCCAAGCAAAAGATATCCATGGTCTGGTGGGATGTATTTCAACCCTTTTGTTCGCTGCTGCTTCTGCCTTCTCCTCATTCCCCGCTACTTCTATTCTCCCCTCTCCCTTTCACCCCTCCCAAATCCCTGCAGTGACCTCTTTCTGCCCCTGGGCTCCTGCTGCTGCAGTCTCACACCCCGCTCCTCCCACCAGCCCAGGCACTTTCAGCTGCAGCTGAATCTAGAAAGCTAAGGCGGAGGTTACTGGCTCATTGTATCTCATGTCTAATGTTAGCATTTTTCAGTGCGCAGGCTCAGTTATTTTAAAATAACATGAGAGGGACAGCTGAGTGAATAAACTATAAAACACAGAAAGCATAATGTTTACTCACAAATTTAAGATAGAGACCTAAGAAGAAATACTTTCTTTTTGCTACAGTTTTTTAATCCTCTGAAGAGTTTCCTTTTTATTGTATATATCTGCCTGACCATGCAGAAGCAGAAAATGTTTATTAAAACATCGAATCATTTTATCTATGTATTAACTGCGTATATACGAAGTACATGTAAATTACGAAAAACTGAAAATTCACAAGACCAACTTTTACCCATATACATTAAAACATTTGCAATACATTAAAAAGTGCAGAGGTGCTACTGCTGAAATATTAACTATCAGATATTATTTCTGCAACTGCACAGAAGAACACAAAGTGTCATCTGCTTTGTTCACTCAGGGCTGACTTTTAATTCATTGACAGTTTGTCACATGAAACTCGATTGCACAGTCTCGCTCTGTGCTTTTAGTGCATCAGCTGAGATGAGCCATTCGGCTCATGTGCAATATCATGCACTTTTAGTGCCCCAGTGATTTCTCCTGGGAAACAAATGCAGCTGGTGCGATTTGATCCTGGATAATGCAGACCCAGGTTTTGGGTGCAGAGGAGGTAAGACACGCATGCTTAGGAAAACCTTGCCTCTGTATATACTAGGGGATTCTGCTGGCATGCCTCCATCTAATTCTATACAAGAGTTATTTTAGCAAAAGTCAGCGATGTACGCATAAGGGGTATTAGTTCCTCTACACTAGCGTAACTGCACATACAGCAGAGTGGCAAAACATACGAATCCTAAGCTGTGAAGTCTTGTTCAGAGTACTGAGTCACACGATGTAAAGAAGAGATTTTGACAGATCGGTTAGTGAAACAACTAGCAACTTTTATGTTTATCGTCAGTCTGACTTTTTGTTTCACATTCAGATACAACCCATTTGGTGAAGTGAGGGACAGGGTGCAATTGATACCAGCTGCCTGCTTAGAGAGGAAGGTGAGCTCTGCGTGAGTAGACACTCTGTTCATATCATAAAGCTTTGCGGGTTTTGGTTTTTTTTCATAAAGAAGATTGTAAGAGGCATTTCAAGATGTAATGATGTCATTCTAATGAAAGGGCCAATTTTGGAGCACAGGAAGTAGTAAATTTTACAACACATTCCACATCATCAAATCACACAGTACCGGAAAGAAATGATAGCACCTGCTAACTGGATCACTATTTCAAAGCAACATGGCAAGCATGGATGAAAAACGCTATTTCTAGCATGAGATACCAAGTGTTACCACCATGGTTTACTGCAAGCTGGCAACAACTTGAAATACTCTGGCAGATTCTTGTCTACAGTCAGAAAATTTTGCAAGAAACTCTCTGTGACCCTGAACTTTATCCTCTCTGGGGTGCTCATATATTTCTCGACCTGAGTGTATCCTAGAAGTCAAACTCCTAGGGATTTATTGTCTTGTGCCTCAAATAACATTGTGCCCTGCCCTCCAGCTGTACTTCTGCAGTCAAAGATTTTAATTTTTTCACTGGATAGTCTTGTGTTTATCCACTTAAATTTATAGTCACTTGAAGTAACCAAATTTAGAATTGACTTCAGTATCCAGCTAATATTTTTACTGCTTTATTTATCAGCTTTGCAGCTTTTGGCAAAGTCAGGCTTTAGTGCTTTCAAACTGGAGCACACGGCGTCATTTGTGCTTTTTAAAAAGAACCGCCCATCCACTGTTATTCAGGAACAGCTTACAAGTAATTGTTCCCTTCTTTCTTATTCCTCTGCTGGGCCATGTCAACCTATGTTTGTCACCCGGCACCACGTGTGTACCTTATACAGAAGCAAAGATGGGTATGCACAATGAAACTAATGTGAAGACGAAAATATCCTAATGTCTGGAAGAGTTTATACTGTGGGTTTTAGAGCAATTTACTCCTTATCCTTATGTAATAGATTTTTTGAAATTTCAGCCAGTTGGTCATGAGCATACATTAAAACAAACTGTCCTATTTTC